TTTAGTAAATATCTTTCGATTTTGCCTTTGTAAGCCACTACTCGATCTTGATACTCTTGACTTTGTATAATTTCACTCTCTAATTCATCGCTTTTATCAAAATAATTTTCAATTTTCAAATCAAGATCCTTTAAAGTTTCGCTTTTTTCATTTAACTGATTTAGACAATCATACAAAGTATCATCAGGAAGTATTTCTAATAACAGTTTGTCAATTTTATTTATTAGTTTTGTAATCAGCTGTCTGATTACAGCTCTTTTGGACTTTAATTTTTCAAAATCATCCATTATAAACAGCTCGCACGTTACTATAATAAATACAATACAATTAATGCAATAAAATATCAAAATAAATTACCGACTTAAGGGAGACCAAAACAAAACAAATGTTAACTTACATTTCATGCAGGTGGCCTATTTTTCGGCCGGTGTAGCACCATAATTCGAATTCAACAATAATTACACAAATTGTAATGATTCAAATAATTTTATTTCATTGTGGTTCAGTGGTTAAATCTAAACTGAAACTTAAGTGTAGAAAAAAATAATAAAAAAACTGTTTGCGCTCAGCGCCATCTGTTATTATAAATCCTCAACAGGTATATATTATGTATTGGTATATTTAGTGATATACTTAATCTGATTCCGCTGAGTCATAGCGATTTTTATGAAAAAGTTGCCAGTAGTAATGCCAAGTATATAATATGTACGCTTAACATTTCGGATTTAGCACCTAATATTTTAGATGTGCACCAACATCTTAACATTACTGGTGAGCCCCTTGTTATTTTCAATTCAAAAATAATAATCCGAAGAAAGAAAATTTTTTTGGTAGTAGGTAACTGATATTATGTTTATTGCTGTTGTTTCAATCGGTGTTATATATACTGATATAGGTACCACGATATCTACTATAGGCTATAAGTACGTAGTAAATTTGTTTTTTAGGGCCTTCGAATAGGATAAGTAGTGGAGAAGATTTTCGATTTGACAATCAGCAGTTAGCCTCGAACAATAACATTATGCCAAATGTGATTTTAATGTGATATCTAGAACCATATTTTGCTTAATCTAACTGCCTGAATCCACAGGGCAAATAATAATAAATACTGTAATTGTTTTAACTTAATTACAGTTTTCTGCATGATTTCATAGCGATTTATTGATTTTTCACCCCTTGCGAAGAACGAGTATTCAGCTAGTAACAATAATAATATACTGAAAAAGTTGCAGTAGAAGCAACAAAAAAGTTTTTTTTTCAGTGCGACTTTGCTCAGAAAAAAAAATTAAATTCATTTGCAGGCAGTGTGTGTGAAACAAGTATCGCGAACTGGAAACTAAAAATTTTATATGTGATACCATTCAAGGGCTATTTTTTATATTATTGATACTTAAAAAGAATTTACATTCCTTCTTAATTTATGGAAGCTGCAGTTACAAATTTTATTTTTTCGACAGAGTAACTTCAAACTCCCCGCTCCTTAGCGTGAGAAACGAGTGATTTCCTAGGGTTGTTTTTTTCACATTTGTTGTCAAGTCACTTACCTGCCTCTTCCACCCGAAGGATATTCAAATAATGTCACTTACCTAGTTCTTCCACTGAGTATCTTCAAAATTAATCGATTTAGTAACATAAATGAATGTTATATTTAAATAAGACTAAAATAAAAACTTTCCTTCAGAAATCTCATTTGAAAAAAACAAATTCACTTACCTGGTTCTCCCACAAAGCTCTTCAAATACGAATATATAATGTATAGTTGTACTAAATAGATGCTTACCTTGATATCCATTCATATATTGTATGCAAATACGATACATTTGCATATAGGTACAATATATGCAGGTTCAATGTTCATATGTGCAGTGCTCAAAATAAAAGCGGACCACCCTGAATAACTTTTCTTCTTCACTTTCTAGGATTCAATCTTGAAGGTTCGAGAGCGTGACCTCAAATATGCTAATTAATTACTGCAAACGATAATTTACGTTAGGAAATTAGGCACGAAAACGTACTTTCTCTGAATAAACATGCCTTGTTTTTTTACTGCTTCGGATTTCTGAACCCCAAAATTTTGAGGGTAGCCGCAATCTGAGAAATATGGTCCCCATAGTTTAATCATCGCGAACTTTTTAAGCTAGTTTTTGCACACAGTTATAAAATCTGTTTCCCCAAAGATAATTCCATGGTAAAAATTTATTTTTTATTATTTTATTTAATTATGGTTGGAAAAATTTTAAATTGTAAGGTACGTAATTTTTTGTATCATTTTAAAAAATATAATTTTACATGGCAAAATACGAAATTAAAGCAAATCGGTCGAATAGTTCCTGAGAAATTTAATAGATTTTAAATATCTTACACTTTTGAGATTCAAAAGAAAAGCATTGCTTTATTTTTTTGCTATGAGTTAATATTTAGGGTAATTTTGTGCACTCAAAATGACATCACATTACAATAACGTCCGATTTCACCCAGACCACGAGGCAAGTGTCGATTGCATAAAAGGGTGGTGTACATTGACATTCCCCAGGGCAAGTACAGTGGCCGATGACAAAAACTAAACTCCCAACAGCTCCCCGAAGAAAAAACTAGAAGCATGTCAGATGAAACCTAAATATCGCAGCACAGAAAGTCGAACTCTAAAAGGACTTGATAATATTCACACATAAGTAATTCTTTAATACGACTCCTATTACAATAACTTTTCCATTATAATGATTAGAACATTAAGTCCCTAGTACTGTTCCATAGAGTCTATGTTAATTTTACATACAATTCCAATATAGTGAGAAAAATTTGGTTCCGATTTTATATTTCATTACCAAGAAAATCATCTAAAAAACAACTTAAAAACAAAAATACTTTCTCAGACAATGAGTCAACTCACAGGGAAAGTTTCAAAGAAATTATTTTAATCATATTTCTTTGATGTTGTGGTACATTAAACATGATATAGCTTGAAACGCGATATAAACTGAAAGTTTATATCGCGTTAAACTGAAAGTTTATATCGCGTGAGTAGTAAAAGTGTAAGAGTTTTGAAAGTAGTGTAAGTAGTTTTTGGACATAAAGCTGGTGAAATATATATTATTGATAATCAAGAGAAATATCGTTTTTTTTTAAATGATTCCCATATTCATTAGTTAGTGTTATGAATAATTATTTGCGATATTCTTCTGCACTCATAACATAGTGATGAAGTCGATTGAGTTCTTAAGTGATGAAGTCCTTAAATGAAGTCTATATACTCATAGACATAGAGGTCGCTATAGAGCGTCTTTACTTTTCTAAATATATTCTTCAATAACATTATATTTATTTATCTTTCAACTATTATATCTGTCAGCATAAAAAAAAAATAATGGAATCTTCTCCTTCTTCGTTAAGCACTTTGTGGGTCAAGGCGTTCATCAGAATCTTCTTCCATTCTGTTACCCTCGTAGCGAAGGCATTCCAGTTGGACAGTGTTTTAAATGTCCAGGCATGCCTCAAATTCAAGAACCAATCGGTTAGAAATTGAAGAAAGTTTAACTGGATAGATTAAAATGCGTCTAATGTGTCTAGCAAAATTCAATGACATTCAACAAGTAACTGAAGTGGTTTACGGTGGAGCACACGACATTCCAATATCCAAATCATCATTCATCCATTGACACATTTGGTTTGGAAGACCCAATCAGTAGCATCACTGCATTGATCAGTGAATCCTAGACACACACAATCCAGCCCACAATGAAAGTCGGTAACACCGATCGAGAGGTTTAGGGATTAAATAATACTAATTTTTTTTTAAACTGAATGAAATATTTAACATAAAAACCAATCTCGGTATAAAAATTGCTTAGAAGCAAATATTATGATTTTACAAATTTAGATTTATCATTTCTTTTTTACTTTTTAGAAAACTTTATTGGATGCTTTATATCGGTTGGATTTTTCTAACAAAGTAATGTTTATTATTTTTTTTACTTTTAAATCAGTACATACATTTGAAAAGTTTTAATTTAAATGCTTATAAATTGTACTCTTTTACAGCCACAAACTCAAAAAGCGTGTTATCTAAATAAAGAAGGTTATATTGAAATGCTACCTCATGGTCGAAAGAAGGCTACCTATTGGAACCCATGGAAAAAGAAATATATTAGATTAAAAAATGGCTTTCTTTTCTGTTATGATGTAAGAAAAACTCATTTATTTATCTAAATGTAGGCATAACTCAACAATGATTTTTAATTAATGTTTTGATAATTCAACTATTACTGTGAAACCTCAGAGAAAACTGACCTCTTAGAAAAAGGACATGCTATTGATTTTTTTAAAGGAATGAAAGAAAAAAACGTTATGTTACGGCGAATGACCGAAATTGGTGGTTGTTGACTTTCACCAGTGAATGTCGACAAACACCAAATACGTAGGTGAAAGATTTCATTACATTCTTGTACATTCGGACCCTCACCGGTGTATGTCAACAATCACATAGTCGCTTTGGTGAATGTCCGAAATATTTGTTATATCCAATTTTATATTAATTTATTCGTTGATATTATTATATTTATTTTATATATTTATATTTATTCTGTATTTTAATACTTACTGACGATAGATTAAAAGAAACATCAGTGTTTGGAGTATCGGGCAAATATATACCGGGCAATGGCACTTGACCTTAAAAAAACATCAGTGTAGGGTATACCGAGCCACTTAAGGTTAAGTGCCACTGCCCAGTATACATTTGCCCGGTATACCCTACACTGATGTTTTTTTAAGGTTAAGTGCCACTGCCCGGTATACTGGGCAAATGTATACCGGGCAAATGCAAATGTATGGCCCGATACTCCAAACACTGATGTTTCTTCTGATCTATCGTCAGTAAGTATTAAAATATCGAATAAATGTAATTATATCTACGAATAAATTCATATCAAATCGAATGTAATAAATATTTCGGACATTCACCAAAGCGACTATGTGATTGTTGACATTCACCGGTGAAAGTCAGAAATAAGGGTATTTAGCAAATATTTCGGACATACACCAAGCGACTACGTGAATGTTGACATTTTCGAGACTTCGGTCATTCACCGTAACATAGATACTTTTTTTTTAAATGTTCATGTTTGTTACTCATTATTTTACTTTTTGTTTTTATTTTCAATGTTAGAGAGACACTTGTTTTTTCTACACATATTTACTTTAAAAATATTAATTATAAAGAGCTTTGAATATTGTTATAAATTTTGCAGCCTTAGCTACACCCTACACCACAAAAGAGTCTAATTTTTTACAAACCTAAATCAGAAAAAACTGATGATATTTTTGGAAAAAAGAAGAAGTATGAAAAAAAATGTTGACACTTGCTCTCCTTTACACTACACATAGAACTAAACACTGCAATAATTAATTCAAACAGTTAAAAATCTTTACCAACATATTGTATTTTCATTTTTACTTTTACATTCCTTTCAATGTATTTTACAGAATATGCAGTCAGAGCAGCCATCACTAACAATTCAACTGATGGGAGGTCAAATAGAAATTTTAGATAACAAAATTATAGGTATTGATGATCAGGTTTGTAAACTATTTTATCTACTTTGCATTTTTTCGAAGTACTTTTTCGTTAGTTCTATCAAACATAGATTTAAAAATGTTCGAATATGACAAATTAAGGTTTAAGTAAGTTATAATTAACCTCAACATAAAGAAGTACTTTCTCCAAATAAACAAAACTTTTTTTACGGATTCTTGACCATCAAATTAGGGGAGTAGCCCGCAAATTGGAATACATTATTGCAGTAGTTTAATTAGGAAAGTAGCAATCAGAACTTTTTAAGAAAATTTAAAGCTTTTTGCTAAGAATTATAAAATTTCGGTAATTTAAAGATACTGCACAAAAAATAATTAAAAGCAACTATTTATTATATAATTTTCATTTAATTCGCGATCGCAACGCTCTATACGCTATCTGGGGAGAACACCAGTTTCATGTTTTGACCCTTCCCTCTCCTCCTCTTCTTATTTGTATAGGATTGTATTATGATATTTCCCCTTTTCTTAATATTTTTCGTGTTTAATTGTCAAAAACATTTTTTTCCACGATGCTTTCTTTTAGAACTAGGTTCAATGTAGTTTTTAGTTCCATATACCTTGAAAGGTCTATTTGAAGACAGAAACTAACGTACATCTATGACTCTCTAATGGTGAAAACATGCGAAGTGTTGCCATAGAGTTCTGCTAGACGCCACCTATTTCAATCGCCAATAGCAATCAAAAAGTTTTGAAATGAATGTAAGGCATGCAAATCTTTATATCATTTTGAACTATATGTTTTAAGATGTCGCTTTAATTCGTCGTTAAATAATTCATCACGCATAATTCGATAAGGCTACAGTTCGTCGTGGGAGCAAGTTGTCACGGAAACAATTCGTCGTGAGTACAATTCACCACGGCAACAATTCGTCGTGAACACAATTCGTTGCAAGGACAATTCGTCGCAGAGACAACTTGTCGTGAGCACAATTTCTTGCGATTTCGATTAAATACATCTATTTACGAAGATAAAACTCTTGCATTGTCAATAAAAGCTAACTAAATATTTAATTTGTAGCAGTGAAAATAGTAGGAAAGCATTCAAGAGGGGAGGATTGTGTGATTAATTATTTAAAAGGGGGAGAAGGTGTATGAGCAATGTTTACGTAAGACACTAAATTAAAATTGATTGTTGGTTCTTAATATACAACATAATAATTTAGCGAAAAAGATATAGATTGGTTGTAATATGTTTTTTTAATTAGCAATTATCTTGGCTAAGCAAAATATCTGTATTAGTCTTAACGTATTGGTCGCTAGAAATTTATTATTTTACCCATCACCTTTGTTGTTGAAAGTATTCAAGATAGAGCAAATTTAATTTTTCAAGCTTTCTCTTAAACATATTTTTAGTAATTATTTTTTCCTTCGCTTAACTTCAGTTTTTGAAGTGGTATTTCTTTAATTCAAAAAGAGGACTCAAATTAATTTTTGACTTAAATTAAAAGGAGTAGCTACAAAAATGTGGCCTAAATAGTGTAACTGGGAAAGCACTCGAGCTTCATAGTGTTAATTTTACTTGAGGCATTATTTCCAATGCGCATTACTACACTAACTTGAATGAAACTAATCTTGAGACTATCTCACGAATAGTTTAGTAGGTATAAGAGTTTTATTTAGAAAAAATACACATTTGTACTTGTACATATTTACACTACTGACATTACTATCTAAACAAGTGAGGCGTAGTTCTTACGTATTTTTTCACGTTGAATCGAATTGAAAGAATACACACGTCAAAGGAACGAATAAAAGTTTTTATATATATATAAAAAGTACTTCTTTTGACATGTACATATGTATACTTTTTACATTGCAATGAAGGAGCTATCTGAGCATGTAATGTACATTTCTGATGTAATTTTCTATGCTGAATTGATTGAAATAAAGCAGAAATTGATTAGATAAATAGTTGAGAAGTTATAAGGGTTTTGTGTGCAGAAAGTACAATCTTGACTTGCATATACGCATCTCATCTATACAGACAAGTGAAGTATTGTTTCCTATGTATATTTTCTCACTCAATCGAATGAAAACAAACTCAAGTTCTCAAGTCAAAAGGACTAATATTTAAAAAGTTACAACTTCATTTGATGAAGAAATTTGTACACAATTTCAAAGCTATTTATTGAATTTTATCTCATTCAATTCAGCATGAAATGTTACATTGGAAAATGTAACTTACATGTTTAGATAGCCTCTAGATAATAATGTAAAAAGTGTACTTAAACAATCAATAGAAATACTTTTTATTAATAAAGCTCTTTTAACTTTTGCACTATTCAGTTGATTCTGTTAGAGTTTCATTCGACTCAGCGTTAAAAACTACATAGGAAACAATGCCTCGCATGTTCAGATAGCAATGTTAAATGCGTAAATAGGTACAAATCGAAACTTGTACTTTTTGTCTATAAAACACATATAACTTCTAAATTATTAGTTCGATCATCTCGTAATTAGTTTCATTCAATTCTGCGTAAAAAATACATCGGGATGAATGCCTCACTTACCTGTTTGCAAGAAATTCAATTCTCTCCCTCAAACACCCCCATTTCCCTCAAAAAAGGGAGAAACGAACAAAGGAGAGTTGGGGATTTTTCGGGACATAATGAAGTTTTTTGCCAAAATAATACTTTTGATGTTAATTTTTCCGAAGAAACACCCTTTTTGTTGCTGTAATAATTACTGGAATACCATGTATTTCAAATTTTGCTTATGACGAATTAACGCTACCAAGAATTGTTGTTCTACGAGTTGGGCCCACGATGAATTGTGCTCGCAATGAAGTGAGTCCACGTTAAATTGTCTTTGCAACGAGTTGTACCTACGAAGAATTTTCGCCACAACGAATTGTGCATGAATTGTGCCCGTGACGAATTATCTTTGCGAGGAATTGTCGCTGCGACGGATTGTGCTCATGACGGATTGTCCAACGACAAATTGTGAGCGATGAATTAACGCAGCAGAACCAAATTTTAAAACACGAAATAGAAATTTATGGAATTCCCCCTCCCAAGAAAAATATACAAGTCATGCTATAAAATGAATGAGTTGGGGTAAAATGAAATGCTTAAATGATCTATCTCAAGTTTATCCCCAGTTTCAGCTGAAGGCCAACTTCATTATTTTTATCGTATATTTCCAGGACTCGAAAATATACGATTTCGAAATTTAGAGATGTTCGAGTAAGATGATGCAACATGGATGAGCACACGGATAAAAGAGGAATGCGTGAACTCCGTAAATTATTCTGTATTTAACGTTTATTTTAACAATTTTTAGCTGTTTAATCATTTGACTTATTTATAACTCGGATATTATAAATTGATTATAAAAGAAATAATGCTTTTATGTTCATTTAATGCTTTAATTTTACGTTTAACGAGATAATTTGTTTATATTTTATATGTTTTTTTTTTAAATTATTTTAAAGATTTTTTATTGTTTATCATTTGATAGGTTGAAATTTTAGAAATTCAAAATTAGTAAAGAAAGAAACAGGATGCGTTTGTGATTATTTTGTGAAGTACAATTTTGCGCAACACAAGATTAATTTTATTTAATTATTATTAATATTTTTTTTAATTATTGTACGTATTTTTATTCATTTGATTTTATAATATTTAGGTATTTCAAATCAAATTACGATAAAGCAACGCGATGCGATCGCGATTGTTCTATATTGTACAATTTCGCGTCTGTAAGATTCTTTTAATCAATTTATTGTATTTTGATCACTTATTTTAATTATATTTAGATTCTTAATCAGTTTGGTTACATAAAATTCGAGTATTTTTACGTAATGCGTTTGCGATTGAGTTGTATTTGAATTACGCACAATTGTATACGGTACATTTTGCATACATTTGAAAAGTTATGATGAAAATTATTGAAATACATAATTTTTGATTTTAAGTAAGATCGCATATATTTATATTGTATCATTGTATATTTAATAATTACTTTAATGATTTTTAAACGTTTAGTAAATTATTTTTGTGTATAACTTGTTAATTGAAACAGATGCGTTAACTCCACGATAGCTCATAAAATGTGCGGCGTATCCGATGAAAAATCCCCCCTTTTACGGGTGCGGCGTATGTATTAGATCGGTGTATCTCTACGAAATCACTGTACATATAAAAAGGAGGCTCCACTCCCCAACCCCCTTTGGTTGCCTCTCATTCGTCTTTAATATTTTTTCAAATACATAATTGTCATAATTTTATGTAAGAATGTTTTGATGTTATATTATTCATAACGAAATGAATGATTGCCTAAATTTTAAAAAAAATTACCAAAGGAATACAGATTATATGACTCAACATGAAATAAATTTGCATAATTTTAAATGTCAATAAGGCTTAAATCATTATAACAATTCAATTTGGAAATGGTTTTATTTCTCTTGAGTCTCTTATTATATTTATTATAATTTCATATCAGAACATTTTGTTAATATATTAATCGCAACGATATTAATGATTATACCTAAATTTAAAAAAATTACGAACAGAGCTTGAAAATAAAATTAACTTAAAGAATGCAGGTTGTGTGACTCAACAAGAAATAAATTAGAATAATTTACTTCCAAACGAGACTTATATCATTATAACAGTTCAAACTGGAAATGGGTTTCTCGCTTTTGAGTCGTATATTTTTAAAAATTTTGATATAGATATTAAGATTTATATCTGGCAACAGCTGATCCCTCATTCTATTTTTTTTTTTTAATTTTGCAAAAAAAAGAAAAAAAAACTTAAAAGTTGCAAAAACTTGATAACAAATTCTAATTTTTTTTATAAAAAAAAAACTCGATTTAAGTTTATAATTAAAAATAGTCCTTTCAGTAATGTGAATTTTAAACAATGTTGTTGCATTTCAGAAGGTTGTAGATCAGATTATCTCGTATGATTTATTTTACTACAAGTTTAACAGTTGATGATAATATTTCTATAGCAATTCTATAGCAGTCCTATTTTTTTTTGTATTCTGTCAAACTCCTTGTACAAATTTCTACACACCTTCATAAGTTCAAGTTTCTAAGTCTTTTAAATTTTTGCGCAACAAACCCAAATGTAACGTTAAGTAAAAAAGGGAGTAAAAATGTGCAAATACAAAGTGCTTCAAATTTAAATAACTTTCGAACAAATTAGAATTTTGAAGAAAAAAAACTTGAGTTTACTTCGTAAACAATAGTTGTTTTTTTTTTCTGTACGTCAAATTTCAACTCTGTAGTTGTGTATTTCTGGCCTGCATGATATTTTTACCACATATTCAACAGTTAATAGTTCTCGAATGAATTATCGAATATTAGTTTCTTTATTTCATCATACTCCTTGAAAATTTCCCTACACATTTGCGTAATTTCATGTGCCTAATTGCAATTTAAATTTTATAAATGTAACATAAAGTTGAACATCTAAAACAATGTCTCTACTATTTTAATGCAGAGAGCTAATCACTTCGATAATATATATATATATATATATATAT